GGGAAAGAAAAACAGAATAGCAAGGCAGAGTGAGGAGAGATGTACAGTAGCAGACAGACTGACTGACTCCTTTGGCTGCTGAATTGAGTGGAAGTGCATTTTCCCTGGTAATCGCTGGATATCTTGAGTATTTCGTATAACATGAAGGTAAGATAATTGTTTACTCAGTTTGTACTGATGAAGTGAATATGGCAAGTGCAGTGAAATATTAATTTAGATGGAGAAATACTTAACTGAAAATGTAATTGGGCAGTGTTGCAGGAAAGGAGAAACCTGAAAAAAAATACAGCTTTGACAACAAAGCTGAGGAAAATCAGTGTGACACTGTCCTTTATTTCTCAAGCTGACTAGTGTAAGGATTTCAGAAAGGTACACAGCTGCATGAGGTAACAGAAGAAGCAGAAAAGCAACATGAGTTTGCTTTTGCTCCTCTTTTTTTCAGGTACTGGGGATTTTTCTGTTGCTGGAAGTTTCAGGCTTCTTTTCCATTTTTTCCAGGTGAGTATTTTTTAGTAAACTACTTGCTGAAGACTAAGCACGTGTAATGTAACAGACAGCTTCTGGTGCATGACATAAGGCAGGGCTTAAAGGGGTCTTCAGATACATTCCTGTGAGAGGAGACACCGTTTGGTGTCAGTACTGCCACTGCCATCGCTGGTGACAAGGGAGGCATTAGGGTGTCCCTTACCTCTGCCCAGAGAAGTCAGCTGCCCTGTGGGAAAAGAGCTACAGCAGCACACGTCTGTGAAACACAGCACAGCTTGCCCCAAGCCAGCCTGGGTCCCGGGGCCGGGTCGCGCCCCCAGTGCCTCCCGCGGGCAGACTGGTTTGTTGAGCGCTGCCGTGGGAAGCTCTGCGCACGCCGTGGGGGGCCACAGCCCCTGCCAGCGCCGCGCCGCCGCCGCGCCAGCCTGCCCCTGCCGTCTGGCCTCTCCCTGCTTTGCGATGCGAAGCTGGGCTTTGAAACTTCTCTTAGGATTGCACAAAGCCCTCACTGATCTTCAGGCTAGGTGGATGTATCTCATTTCTTCTTTTCAGGGATCAGGAAGCCCAGGCTGGGGCTGATTTTGTACTTACACATAAAAAACAGAGACAAGTGGATTTAGAGAAAGCCTCATCATACCCCTAATTGTACTAAAGGCCTGGTTTGCACTAATAATTTTAGAGGCAAACCCCTAATGATTTTCCTCTTTTTTTTTTTTTTTAATGCAAAAAAATACTACTGGAGCAGCTCTTCCTCACCAGTCCATTGCCGCTGGAATTCTTTTGGCCCATGGTCTGAGTGTGATGGCTGTACTCAAAAACAGGTATAGTTTCCCCCCTAATAATAGCCTACTTAAGGAGCTCCTGTATCTTTAAAATCCCTAGCTGGGTGTCTGACAAAAGCCACAGCAGAACAAGAAGGCTGAAGACCAAAGAACTCTGAAGGGAAATCCTCCAGCCCGTCCCCAATATGTTCTCTTTCAAAGCTATGATATTCATGTTGTAAAATAATTTGTGCACTTTTTATTTTGGTGATAGCTCCAAAATGCTCAGCTGAACTGATATTCCTCCTGTAGCTGATGCTGTATTGTACTCATTCTGGTGATATTTCATTAGTGGAGTCATGTCTCAAGGAAAGAAATCTTGTTTGGAAATTATTATCCTCAATGAAAAGAAGTTTATGATATTTACAGTGCAATTCTATTGATGTGAAAGATACTCGCTTTTGATTTTTCTTCTCATCTACTTTGATGTTGCATCAATTAAAGAGGGATTAGTCAAAAGTAAAGATGTGCCATGAGACTGTGTTTATTCTTTTTAGAAGCAAAAAGTACCCAAACTGATGTTAGATTTTATCATCTTCTTTAATTACATTGTTTAATTTGAAGAACTTCAGAAAATTCAGGCATGATTGGTCTTATTAAAAATGTAAAATAAAACTGAAAATCGTCAGCAGCTTTCTGTTGATTTCAGCTACATATTAGTTGGGGTTTTTTTTAACAAACCAGCCAAGCTTATGTGTTAATCAAAAGACTTTACAGATAAAATAGTTGTATTTGTATTAATTTGAGTTAACATACTGTGGTAACACCGAGTGTGGTTGTTCTTAGTTAAAAAAGTGAATGTCTCATTTCTTATAGCAGTAGCATGGTGTCTTGACACTAGATTACTATTCCTGCTTTGCTTTTGGATTTTCTAAGATATCCCTTGATTTGCATTCAGATTCGGAGACGGACAGTAGCAGTTTATGGCCAGTATGGGGGAAACCCCTGTTCTGGGCATGCCTTTGAAACAAGACCATGCACCCCGACAAGGGGATGCCCAACAGGGGATGGCTGTGGTGATCGATTCAGATGTTTCTCAGGTACCATCCAAGATCTTTTTCACCATTTTCTGGTCATAAAGTTAAGTAGATGACCTTGTTATATTTGAACTTTAGTAAATGCGCAATGACTTTGCGGAAGTTTTGGCCTATGGATAACTTTGGTTTAGGAGGATGTTTCCTTTTCTTCCAGCCTCAACTACACATATTTTCTATTTCATCTCGAGTGTTGCAGAGCTTTGTAGATAATGTTGCCCTGGTAGCCTCTCTAAGTCATTCTGCTTTACTAATTTACCCCAGAGTAATGTTTCTTTCATTATGAGAAGGTAATTATGCAATACTACCTTAGATGTGATTGTTCAAAGCTGTTCTAGGCTATATCCAAGCATCTTGGAAATGATGATCACAGAAACTAATGCTCTCTAAAACAGTCCTCATATCTAAGCAGCTTCCACTACATTCACAAAACCCCACATCATCTCAGTGGGTAGACATTTATCACAGAGGAACATGATAAATATGTTTTGATGCTACCAGAGAGGTAATGAGAGTTAATCACAAGTGATAAGGCCAAAGGATGAAAGCTCAGGAAATAAATCTAGAAGTCATTTTATTAATATATCATAAGCCTTGAATGGCTGTGGTTCCCTCAAGTGCGCTCTACACTGTTTCTTTGTCTACATTTACTGTTGTTTCACAAGCCCTCCTGGGCACAGACTGTTCATTGCGGAAGTGAACAAGCTAATTAGTGTTGTAGATTAGTGAAACTTCTGCTTTGATTTTGGATGATTTATTTTTAAACAAGCAAACACTTCTCCTTTCCCTGTGCATTTTTGTTCTTATTTAGGTCAGTGCATTAGCAGATCTCTTGTGTGCAACGGTGATCAGGATTGTGAGGACGATGGTGCAGATGAAGATCGATGTGAGGAGAAGAAGACCGTATGTGACACTGATAAAACACCTCCAAATTCAGAACTTACAGGAACAGGGTAATGTTATCTGCTGGGCTCAGTACTACTGGTGCCAATGCATTTACACTTAGCTCTGGATGTACAGACAGGCTTCCTGGGCCTATGGTAAAGCATACCATATGCAGAGTGTTCATTACAACAGCCTCTTCCCAGGACATACAGGCTCTCTGATAAAGCACAGAATAAAGCTTTTTATCTTT